AATTATAAATTCATTAATTGACTAAGAGTTAAACATCCTGTAAAAGTCTTTACACAATAATGAGTCTTGAAAATGTTAGGAAAAAATACTCCACAAAATTAATGGGTTTAACTCATATAATAAACACTCATTGCAATATATTAGTTATAATTTACTAATTGTTAACCCTCTTAGCCTTTATAGTCTTTGTGTGTGATATTTATCAATCTTACGAAGCTGTTGGAATACTTTGGAATTACTGGAGCCAAGTAGGGTTTTTCTGGCATCAAGGAAGGAACATGGAAGAAAATCAGCAGATTAAACTTACAACCAAAATTCAATAGTCCCTAAATGACTGTGGTATGGGATCAATATTTGTTTATATACAGTGAAGATAAAGATCACGAAAATTCCAGTGTTTATATGATGCCTAAATAAGTCCAAAAAAACCCATATCTGATTTTTTAAAAACCACAATTAAATAATTATAGAAAGTTATAGTGCCAGAAAGTTAGGAAAGCAGAAATCTTGAAACTAGTTCATAAACATTTCAAGAGCCTAATGAGAGTTATTTTCACCTACAGATATTGATTGAACTCCAGAATAGGATAGAATAGTCAGCCAAATTTACTATCCTCATATGACCTTTCTGGGTTGTTTATCTTTTTTGTCCTCTGCAGAATTTCAGATCAAGTGTCTCATGTTAAATCAGGAGAAAATTTTACTAAGTGAATTAAAGGAACAAGTTTCCAGAGCCAAATGAGCAAGGAAGCACCAAAATGGTTTACCCACTCCCCCACACACACATTTACTTTCAAAATTTTACATGTAAATAGTTGGAATTAGGGATTCCTCGACCAATAAAAAATAGTCTACCCATACTCCACTATCATAGAAGCTTCCACTCAGTACAATAGATGATTTTCTTTTCATGTTAGATTTCATTACAATGTTTTCAGCAAAAGCCAAGTTTCCAAGAATGAAACACAATTATAGATACACAATTATAACCATAGAAAATTAAAAATAGATTTAAATTTGTGTCAATAAATTTTGAGTTAATTTCTTTCCTAAATATTTATTTAGTGATCACCTACAGAAAGACAAGCACAGAGGTAGAAAGATAAAAAGATACAATCTAACTTGAAGGAGGTGATACATCAGAGATGAAAATGTATGCAATCCACAATTACAGAATTGTGCCATAACTGCTGAGATGCACAAGGTTTATATAAGATATTTTGAAACTAGATGAGTTGCTTCAAAGAATTGTCAGAAAAATTGGGGAAAATTTAAGAGAGGTGCATTAAAGAGCTAGGAGAGAGGCAAGCATCAAAAAGGGCAGGCATTCTAGTCTACAAGAAAAACTTGTGCAATTGACTTACAACACACAAAAAAGTGGAAATCAGAAATTACAATATTCATGTTGCCAAAGATGAATAAAAAAGGAAAGTAGAATATTATTTAGATCAGTAAGGACTAGACAATAAAAGAATCAAGATTTTATTCAGTAGGCTGATTGTTTTCAAAAGAACCCTATGGATTTTCAAGCACTCCTGCAGAATCCAAACAGAGACAAATAGATGAGGCTCCAGACCAGTTTTCTCTTCCAGTAGACCAACGTCATTTTATCTATTTTATATATTGGGGATTCAGGCAGTATTTTATTGAACATTACTTATATAAGCAATAAGAGCTACCGGGGAATGCTAGCAAGGTCTTCCCAAGAGCTGAATTCATCAGAATGTATTTCGCAGCATTAGTCTCAAACATTTTCAATGTATTTCCATTTTCAAAGCCATATTGTCCATTTTTAAAAGACAAGGAGGTATGAAAGAAAAACAGTGGTAGGCACACAAAAGATGACTGAGGGCATCGATTGAGTTCTAATAAGCAGTATTTTTGCTGTTTTGGATCATCTTTAAGCAGACGACAACACACTTTATATAGCATGCACAATTCTGTTCCTCTTAAATTTACCAGGTCTTATTTGGCAGTCTCAGATCTGCCTTTTAATGAACAATATTGTTACACCTTACAGCCCTTCTTAAATATACTTCAGCATATAGGAAGAATAAATAAGTTACTAGTGGCAGAGCTTCCCACCTTAGGAAATATGAATCCATAATTCTGAATTCTAACATTACACAAAACTGATTTTTGTGACCTTTAATGAAAACTGAATTATTCTTTACAAAATGGAGAGTTCATTATGTAGGGGTAGTCCAGGCAGTAGTCATTAAGCAGAGCCGAAAAGGAAAGAAATAGCAAATGCTTATCTTCAGATCTCTACACCATAAAATCTCTATTTGATAAAATCTAGTTGGTATGAAAAGGGCTCTTGAAACCTTCCAAACTAATTAGAGCATTTTCAAAAACATTTTCTTATAAAATATGGCTCCCAAAATAGTTCATACTGGTTTTCAGAAGGTGCGATCTTTTAAAAATCTGCATATAAACCTCAAAATTCATTCTGCCATTATTGATGAAAATATGGAAACAAGAACAATTGCACCACATGGAAGACTGTCTAGACAAGAACGTTAGGGGTTATGCCTGAAATAATTTATTATTTGCTGAGAGCCAACAGTATGCTTAGCATTAGGCAACACATCAAGCAAATAGGACTGTAGCCATTGAACTCACAATTTAAGCCAGACACACAGACAACCAAATCATAAATCGTAACAGCTAAGAAAATTGTGTGAATTTCACAGGCATGAATTTGGGTGTTGATTTGCTTTCTTAGCAATGAAAAATTAAGAGATGCCAGAAATAATCATCATAAAGATTGTCAATGCATGTTATTAATCTAGCTCCAGAATTAGCTATCTGACTGAATTTTAAAATGCAGATTTGTGCATTTAGCATTCATGGGAATGAGTATTTTTTTGCAGGAGCATCGTTTATAAAACATTTTATTGCACAATGATGTTATAAAAAGCAAATTATGCTTAATGTTCATACCTTCTTTGTATGCATACGTTTACTATCATCCATTTTTTGTTCTTTCTTGCCTTCAGGATCACTGGTCTTTTAATAAATAAAAAGAGTCAGCCAGTAAGATTAATTTTCTGTTTTTTCTCTAAGGGTACATTTTTATATGCAATCATATGGATATAAATGTCACCCATGCTCAAGAAACCTCATATATTTTTATTGTTGTCACACTTCCAAAGAATGCTAAAAGTCTTAAACAATAGCCAGCTTCAAGATTAGAAACCCATGCTAGTGTTTAATTCATAAATATTCTGTGTAACCCTGCTGTGGAAATTAGGTGGTTTTAGGTGGTGGGTTTTAGGCTTTGACTAGCATAACATCTCTGGACCTTTGTTCCTTTACCAAAAACAAGGATAGTACACAGAGCTTTATAAGAATTAAATATGGAAAATCTATAAAACAGGTAACGTTGGTAAAAATAACAGTGAGCAGGGCCGGGCGCGGTGGCTCACGCCTGTAATCCCAGCACTTTGGGAGGCCGAGGCGGGTGGATCACGAGGTCAAGAGATCGAGACCATCCTGGTCAACATGGTGAAACCCCGTCTCTACTAAAAATAAAAAAAAAATTCAGCTGGGCATGGTGGCGTGTGCCTGTAATCCCAGCTACTCAGGAGGCTGAGGCAGGAGAATTGCCTGAACCCAGGAGGCGGAGGTTGCGGTGAGCCGAGATCGTGCCATTGGACTCCAGCCTGGGTAACAAGAGCGAAACTCCGTCTCAAAATAAAAAACAGTGAGCAAGTATCTATTATTTAAATGGCATAATAATCATGTTTCTGTATGTATGAGTTTATCATGCTAGAAAAAGATAAGAAAAAGCAGAGCTAACAGAAACATATTTTAGAATTATCTACAGTAAAACCCTAAGGAAAGGAAAGTATTTGTTTTGTTTATGTTTTTGGAGAAATAAAACATTAAGAATTAGCGGAGAAGTCTCCAAGAGATGCAATTCTTTCATTTAAGAACCACTCTATACAAAGTCCATAGCTGTTTAACAGGAGTTAAAGGTTTAAGGTTAGGAAATCATGCAGGTTTAAGGTTAGTGCTTTGAAAGTGAGCTGTTGAAATCCATGAGCTTGAAGTCTCCTTTACCTAGATAATGGTAGGATGTCCAACCAAGAAGATCCATGTGTGTCCAGAGAATGTAATACAGATACCTACATATAGTTAGAATAAGATTCTAATAAGATCAGATTCTATAAAAGGTGCTGCTTAGCTAGGTATACTTACCAATGGCCCTAGTATCAAGACTAAGGTCAAAAGTAGAGTGTACATCATTCAGATACACAGAATAATCCCTGCACAGGCTGTTTAATACTGGAGTTAATGTAGATTACAAAGGGATTTGTCTAGACTCTATTTATTTCATTCCACAAATAGTTCTTGAAAACTTATTGTGTGCCAGGGACTCATAAGCACTTTGGATACAAAAGATACAGAGTAGGCAAAACAAAACAAATAAGACAAACAAAGACTTTTATTATGCTTACCTTCTATGCAGAGAACACAGAAAATAAACACACAAGTCAGTAAGTCTCCTACCATATTCAGAGACAGTGTGAGGTATGGAATACAAAGTAGAGAAGAAAGAAGGAATGAGCTGGAGAAATGAAGTTTGCAATTTTAAAGATCTAGACCAGAAAAGACATCACTGTGAATATGACATTGAAATCAAACACTTGAGGAAGCAAAATCTTAAACTAGCAATCCATGCATATGTCCATGGAACAAACATGCCAAGAAGAGGAAAGAGCAAATTCAAATTGCTGAGAACAGTACCTGGCATAGAGCAAGTATCTCCAATATTTCTTCAATGAAAAGGGAAACTGTGTTGGGCTAAGCAAGATGAGTTTTGGTGAATGACAAGAGGAGAGTCATTATTTTCTTCTTTTGGTGATGGGACACTCAACAAACAACAGAGGAGCAGATGCATCTGCCAGAGAGGTGATCTGGTTCTGCAATACCAGATGCCACCATGACCACCCAAAGCCACTGTGGCATTTACTTAGGACGGGACATCTGAGCCTTTGGTCCTGTCCTGCCCACTCAACATAACATTGACTTTGTTCTCTTCAGTTACTAAATCCTTGGCTCAGCAATGAACTCCCCACTCCCACCAACTCTAAGAGGCAGCTCCTGAGGTCTCACCCAGCCCATGGGCTTTCATGCAGTGCCCTCCTGCCAGGAACTTCGTTTCGGCCTCAGGTGCAGGTAACACAACTCACGTCTCTACATGACCAGCCCTACAGAGTCCACAGTAATGACACTGCCCTTTTATAATAGTAATTGGCATAAATCAGTTATTCTACACTGGACAACTATAAGGACAAATACAGCACTTACTTTTCATATTACCAAGCAAAAGTCATAAAGCAGTCAATTAAGTTTATTGAATTAGAATAAGAAGAAAATTGTTTATAATTATGTAGAAACACACCTTCTCTATTTTACAAGAAAGAGAATGCAATTCAGAGAAAGTCCCAACAGTTTATGGTGCACGTTACAAAAGTACATCTTCTCTACGTACATTTCATGAGTTATGGTTCATTTACATTGGCTCACATAAACACTGAAGTATTTAAAATTGAGTAGGGTGAACAGTGCCCAGGTTAAAACTAGACTGGAAAGAATTTGCTAATATATACAACTACGATAACTTGAGAGACTATAATTAGCTGTGGGTTAGCCAGTCATTTATTCCTGCATCTCACCGTGATCCTTTCCTGCAGCCATTCTGTAAATATCCATTTCTTCACTTCCCTGGGACAGACCTCAGCAACAAAAACTCTAAGTCTCTAATTTATTGAACGTTCACTCTATGTTGGGCCCTGAAGGAAAAGTGGCACATACAGTGCCTCTTTTAAAACCACCAATAACCTGGAAAAGAAGGCAATCTTGTTATCCCTGTTTTATGAAAATTAAAGCTCAGATAGGTCAAATAATTTGTTCAGGGTCACATAGCCTGTTAAGTTCCCAAAGCAGGATTAAACTGTGGAACTGCAGAACACTAGAATTTGAGATTTTTGTTATATTATCCACATTCCCAAGTATTAACCCTAACAGGAGAGCAGGATCAAACAGAGGCTGGCAGTGTCAGCCTGACAATATAAAACAGCTTCCCAAGGGCCCCCTGAGACAGACACTCTTACATGTTTCCCTTCCCTCTTGGGGAAAAAAAAAAGAAAAGAAAAAAAAAAAAAGCCTGATTTTGTTTGAGATGGGAATGTACCTAGCTAAATACTTTTCTTATCATCCCTTCCAGCTAGAACTGGCTATGTGACACACGACTAATAATATTTAAATAAGTGACTGAAAGAGAATCTGGGAAAGGTTGTGTTTTCCTAATAAATGGGGACAAGTTGGACCAGAATATTCCCTCCTTTATTCCTTTCTCAAATGTCGACAAGAAGCTGACAGAACTGCAGGAGCCGCCTTAAAGCCATGAGGAAAATAACAGAGATCTTGGCAGTGAATTTGAACTGCTAAATCCACAGCAGACCACCTACCCCCAGACCACTTATTACGAAAAGAAAGTATAGGCATACCTTGAAGATAGCACACGTTCCCTTCCAGACCACTGCAATGGACTGAATACTGCAATATAGTCACACATTTTTTTTGGTTTCCTAGTACATATAAAAGTTATGTTTACACTATACCATAGTCTACTAAGTGTGCCATAGCATTATGTCTAAATAGTGCATATACTTTAGTTTTAAATTACTTTATTACTTATGTCATCTAAGCCTCCAGCAAGTCATAATCTTTTGGCTTGAGGGTCTTACCTTGATGTTGATGGCTGCTGACTGATCAGGGTGGTGGTTGCTGAAGATTAGGGCGGCTGTGGCAATTTCACAAAATAAGACAGCAATGAAGTTTGCCATATTGATTGACTCTTACTTTCATGAAAGATTTCTATATAGCATGGGATGCTGTTTGATGCCATTTACCCATAATAGAACTTCCTTTTTCTTTTTTCAGTGACAGAGTCTTGCTCTATTGCCCAGGCTGGAGCACAGTGGTGCAATCATAGCTCTCTGTAACCTGGATCTCCTTTTGCCTCAATCTCTCAAGTAGCTAGGAGTTACTACAGGCACATACCATCATGCCTGTCTTATGTATTTATTTGTTTATATTTTTTAATAGCAGCAGGATCTCACTATGTTGCCCAGGTTAATCTCCAACGCTGGCCTTAAGCGATCATCCTGCCCCAGCCTCCCAAAGTGCTTGGATTAGACATGAATCACTGAAATCAGCCTAGAACTGCTTTCAAAATTAGAATCAATCCTCTCAAACCCCACCGCTGCTTTTCAACTCAGTTTACTCAATTTTCTAAATCCTTTGTTGTCATTTCAACAATGTTCACATTGTTTTTATCAAGAGTTGATGTAATCTCAAGAAACCACTTTCTTTGCTCATCCATATGAAACAACTCCTCGTCTGTTCAAATTTTGTCATGAGATTGTACCAATTTATCACATCTTCAGGCTCCACTGCTATTTCTAGTTCTTTTGCTATTTCCACCTAAGTCACCTATAGTGACTTCCTCCACTGAAGTCTTGAACCTCTCCAAGTCATCCATTAGGGTTGGAATCAACTTCTTCCAAATTCATATTAATGTTGAAACTTTAACTTGTTCCCATGAAGCATGAATGTTCTTAATGGCATCTAGAATGGCAGATATTTTTCAGAAGATTTTTTTCCTTTACTTTGCCCAGCTCCATCCAAGAAGTCACTATTTATGGCAGTGATAACCTAACAAAGTGCATTTCTTAAGTAATACAACCAGAAGCCAGAAAGCCAGAATGATTCCTGGATCCATAGACGTCAGAATGGATGTTGTGTTAGCAGGAATTAAAACAGCATTCTTCTCTTTGTACATCTTCATCAGAGCTTTTGGGTGATCCGCAACAATATTTTTCTCAGAGCAGTATGTCTCAATAGTGGGCTTGAAATATTCAGTAAACCATGCTATAAATAGATGGGCTGTCATTCAGGTTTTGTTGTTCTTTTTATAGAGCACAAGTGGAGTCCATTTAGCATAATTCTTATGGAATTTTCAGAATAACCAATAAGCATTGACTTGAAATTAAAGTACCAGCTGCGCTAGCCCCTAACAAGAGTCACTGTCTTATATGGGTGAAGTTTGTGACACTGCAAGGCAATTAGAATAGTGACATAAAATATAACTGATCGCAGACCACCATAACAAATATACTAATAATGAACAAGTTTGAAATATTGTGAGAATTGCCAAAATATGGCACAGAGATAAAGTGAGCACCTGCTTTTGGGGAATATGGCACCAATCAACTTGCTTGATGCAGGGTTGTCACAAACTCCAATTTGAAAACAAAAACAAAAACAATATCTATGAAGCTCAATAAAGCACAATGCAATAAAATGGGGTTTGCCGGAAGTCTTTACTTATTTAAGCTATTGTTGACTGGATACTCTGTTACTTCCAGATAGTCTTAGTGGTACCTGACACAGGCTCTTAGAACTCACCTTATCTTGGGGTCCATGCTCCTCCATCTGTTCCACCCTTACGTCCCAAACACTTGCCATCAACCAAAGACTCAAATATTGCACAAAATAAAAAATATTGAGCTTGGTACTCTGCTGCCAGCTATTTCCATACTTCACAAAAAGTGCAATGTTTTCCCCTTCTACCCTTTGTTCCCTTTCTTTTATATATATGTTTCTTTCTTACACTAAATTTTTTATGCTTTCCAGGACAAGAAAGTATGCGGCATATGCTAGGAATTTTTAAGTCCTTGTGAAATAATATACAATAAATCCAAGAGTAACCTGAACACTGAGAGGCCTTTTTGGTGGCTTTTACTAGCTTGCTTTTAAACACCTGCTTTCAAGATATTTTTCTAAATGGTAAAATACACATAAGAGTTATATCAAATATTAGTACTATCAAGTGGCAGACTAATATTTAAAAATTATGTAATAGAGGAGAGAGATCCAAGACGGTTGATTACCAGCAGCTCAGGATTGTAGCTCCCAGTGAAAGCACAGAGAACGAGAGGACACCACTTTCAGACGAATTTTTGTTGCTCACGGACCAGGAGATTCCCAGCAGAGGAGCCCCACGGGTCACCAGCACGACTCTTGTGGCCAGCGTGGCGGTTCTCGGTGCAGAGCAAATGGGACTCGGTCCCGCTTTGGTCGACGTTTGGAGTTCCGGGAAGGCAGAGACGCCTATTCAGCTGATTGAAAGAGGGACTCAAGAGGGAAGCCAGACTGAGATTCCCGGGCAGAAAAGCACCAAGAATCTTAACGCCGCTGTTTTAGCCGGGCAGTGGGTTGCTCAGATTTTGGTGCTGGGAATCAACAAGCTGGACGTCCACTCAGAGACCTAATTTGAAAGTTGGTAATTACAAAGACAACAGGTGGATAAATTTACAATGACGGGAAGAAACCAGCGTAAAAAGACTGAGAATACTCAAAATCAGAATGCCTCTCCCTCTACAGGGGATGACAGTTCCTCATCAACAAGCGAACAAGGCCTGATGGAGAACGAGTGTGTTCCAATAACAGAATTAGACTTCAGAAGGTGGATAATAAGAAACTTCTGTAAGTTAAAAGAACATGTTCTAGCCCAATGTAAAGAAACTAAGAACCTTGAAAAAAGATTTGACGAAATCCTAATGAGAATAGACAATGTAGAGAGGAATATAAGTGAATTAATGGAACTGAAGAATACAATATGAGAACCCTGCGAAGTATGCACAGGTTTTAACACTCGAATTGATCAAGCAGAAGAAAGGATATCAGAGGTCAAAGACCAACTTAATGAAATGAAACGAGAAGACAGGATTAGAGAAGAAAAAGTAGAAAGGAATGAGCAATGTCTCCAAGATATATGGGACTATGTGAAAAGACCTAATTTACGTTTGATAGATGAAGAGAATGAATCGAAGCTAGAAAATATCCTTCAGGATACTATTCAGAAAAACTTTCCTAACCTAGTAAGGCAGGACAATACTCAACTCCAGGTAATACACAGAACACCTCAAAGATATTCCTCAAGAAGATCAACCCCAAGACACATAATCGTAAGATTCACCAGGGTTGAAATAAAGGAGAAAATTCTAAGGGCAGCTAGAGAGAAAGATCAGGTTACCCATAAAGGGAAGCCTATCAGACTCACAGCAGATCTCTCAGCAGAAACCCTACAAACTAGAAGACAGTGGGGGTCAATATTCAATATCCTCAAAGAAAAGAATTTTCAACACAGAATCTCATATCCAGCCAAACTAAGCTTCATAAATGAAGGAAATATAAAATTTTTCTCAAACAAGCAAGCACTCAGAGATTTCATCACCACCAGGCCTGCTTTACATGAGCTTCTGAAAGAAGCACTACACGCAGAAAGGAACAACCAGTATCAGTCATCCCAAAAACTTACCAAAAGGTAAAGGGTATCTCCATAATGAAGAATCTATATCAACTAATGGGCAAAATAACCAGCTAGCATTAAATGACAATACTAAACTCACAAATATCAATATTAGTCCTAAATTTAAATGGATTAAATTCCCCAGTCAAAGACACAGACACCCAAATTGAATAAAAAGTCAAAACCCATCGGCATGCTGCATCCAGATCCATCTCATAAGCAAGGACACACAAAGACTCAAAACAAAAGGTTCGATGAAGACTCACTGACCAAATGGAGAGCAAAAAAACAAACAACAAAAAAAAAAGAGTTGTAACTTTTGTCTCTGACAAAATAGACTTTAATAGTAACAAAGACTAAAAGAAACAAAGAAGGACATTACATAATGGTAAAAGGATCAATGCAACAACAGGAGTCAATGATCATAAACATATATGCACCCAATATAGGAGTACCCAGATACATAAGACAAGTTCTTAATGACTTATAACGAGTCTTGGACTCCCGCACGATAATAGTGGGAGACTTTGACACCACATTGTTAATATTCAACGGATCAACGAGATAGAAAATTAACAGGGACATTTATGATTTGAACTCAGACCTGGAACAAGTAAACTCAGTGAATATTTATAGAATTCTTCACCCCAGGTCCACAGAACATACATTTTTTTTCAGTATCACATTACACATATTTTGAAAGTGACCACATAAATGGAAGTAAATCACTCTTCAACATTTGCATAACATTTCACAGATTTAAATGGAATATTGGTTGGCTGTTTGTTATTTTCTTCCCTTATTCCTTCCTGTCTCCACCGTTAAGTACAATTATCGGCATAAAAGAGGTTTTTAATACCTATTTTTAAATTGCATTCCAGCCTGGGCAATAGAGCAAGACTCCTGTTCTCTCTCCCTCTTTCTCTTTTCTCTTTCTTTCTTTCATTTAAAAAAAAAAAAAAAAAATCATGTAATAATCTCTAGGTTATCACTCTCTTCTCTTGATTCTCATTTAACTAATTAAATCAATGAATATGTTATTATTTGGTTTAATGTAAGTCCTAATCAAAAAAGGGCTATGTCCTGATGAAACATTTTCAAAATGGCCAGGGTAGAGGATTAAATTCAGTCTCATGAAAAGAAACATTCTTTCTCAAAGTTACTGGGGGTTTCTGAAACCATTCATCTGTACCTGCTTTCCTGACATCAACAAAGGAATGAAATCATTTTAAAATAAGTAGTCATCAGAGATGTGTTGTGCTGTAATTTACAACCATGGTACTCAAAGTGTGGCCCCCAGACTTGCAGCATCAGTGTTATCTGAAAACTTAAGAATACAAATTCTCAGCCCCCAGAAATCTGTTTTGACAATTCCTCTAGGTGACTGTGATAATGCTAACATTTGAGAACCATTAAACTTTCTGAAGCAAACGTATTTGCTAAAGTGTTTTTACTAGATTAACAATGATAGAAGGAAATAGTGGAAGTTTCTGAGGAAAATCTGGAAGGAGAAAGAAGAAAAGAAGACAATAAGGGGAAAGGAAGGAGAAGCAAGATGGCTGCTTGATGAAGAACACTTTTTTATGATTAATTCCCAACATAATCTTTACAAAATTTTTATAAATCTGTAAAAGACATGACAAATTTGTGATAAAGAGCTTTTTAAAGAAATACATGTGATTGAATTTTTTTGTGTGTAGAAATTTCCTTAACTGAACCTTTGTCAATTTCACTCCTTGCTCTCAGGTCTTGATGTAACATCCTGATATTGTATTTTCTCCCTGTATACCCGTCAGATGCGACGTTCTTCCTGGAAGTGGATTTCCTGTTATCTTTAGGGAATCTCTGCAGGAAAATACTCTTTTGAAAGCAGTTGCTAAAATCCTTCTTCAAAACTTTTGTCATTTGTTTGGAAGTTTAACCTTCCACTTACATAAAATTTTTCCTCTTGCACGTGCTTGTGACTCTCATTACATAATCTGTGAGCTCCTTTATTCCAGGGACTTGATGCTATTAATCTTTGTCTTCTCAATGACAAGTAATAGAGCCTGACAAATAATAGATACTCAGTATATGTTTGATGAATAAATCAACAGTGTTATCAAGAGATATTAATCTTTTCAAGACCTCTGCTTCTGCACCTCCACTATTCCACTGGATATCTTCTCTCTGCTCCCCCTTCTTGGCCCTAGTCCACCTCCTTGTTCTCTGACTTCTTAGGTTTGGGCAATGGAGAGCTATTATAGGAGACTGGAGGGAGACAGTCCCTCTCTTTGTGGTCACCTTGAATTGTCTGTGTCCCTTGGCCTAAGGTCACTAATTCTTTCAAGATGGCTGTGTACAGGCAGCTCTTCATCTCTACTCTAGTAACTACTTCTTCCCCTCGTTCTTTTGGGAGAAAGGATGGTAACAGCTCTGCTGACACTAACCACATGACCACACCATCCTTTGTGGTTCCTCCACACCTCGCCCATACCCATGTAAATAGATCCATTATTAACCATCTTGAAATTATCCTAATCTAAATGTGTCATTTGTTTACTGTAAGAGCACTAACTCTTATAACTGTCAGATTTTAAAAGTATAAGTAAAACTTCACATATTTTTAAATATTCATCAACAACTGAGTTATTTTCAATACATGTGGTTTTTA